GGGATTCGAACTTGGGTTGCATTGATGAGAGGCGAGCGCTCTCACCGCTACGCCACCCATGCATCCCTGAAAGCGAAATAAGAACAGAGCATTCACTAGGAGTTACTCATTTGTTTGGTTTCTCTTAAGACTGACAAACTCAAGGAAGAAATCACCAAAGTACGTGAAGTCTTGGCCAACAAAGACAACGAGACTGCAGAGACCATCACACAGGCTTACCGTGAACTACAAAAGAAATCTCTTAAACTCTTCGAGATGGCTTACAAAAAGGTGAGTTTATCTTTTCATGTCCATTCGTAAATGTCCTTCCCTTGTTTATCCAAGCTAAAGCAAAGGTGATGGAGTTTCCTTGACTCAGCATCACATTCGAGTAGAGGTTATTTTAATTTTTATCATTACTATTATTATTATTATTATTATTATTATTATTATTATTATTATTCGGTTCTCCTCCCTCCATTAAACCGCTATGTTCCTTTACTTATTCAATATATTCCCTCCCCAGATGGCATCAGAGAGAGAATCCACGGCTCCACCGACACCAGCTCAGAATCAACCGAATCAACCGACGGTAAAAAGAAGGACGAAAGTTAAAATAAAACATCAAGCATAGAAAGACTTTCAAAATCCACTTCGATGTTATTATAAAGAGCTTGCCCTGGTTCTGGATAAGAACGTTTTCTAAAGATTCTAACGAGCCAATGTAAACTCAATGTAGCCTGTATTAGTGTAATAATGTTATGGGGATATTAGTACTATATTGGTTCGGCAGTAAGGGTTAATTTATCCTTCATAATGTTATTTTTACTCTGGTTACTTTTTCCACTTCACGACGAAGGAATTCGTGGGTTGAGGTTTACATTTGCAGTGCAACCACAAGCTGAAGTATCTAGAAATAAAATGATTATCCATGCTTTTTGTGCTTGGTGCATATACACCAGTTTCGCATTCGACTGCATACCGCTGTTTTTGAAGACCACAGACTCTTGCACAGATTTAGCCTCGTTTATAACTCACCTATTCACAGATAGAATTAAAAATCTGTTAGATTTCAAAACATTGGTATTGTTCAAGTTGTACATCCTTTACATTACAGTTGACTTTCGCAAATGATTTGCGCTTAAGGTGGTCTAACAAGTTTCGAACTGCTCCTGGAATTCTTGGAAATCTCCTGAATTTTCTTCCATGGACCTGGAAAACAACTTGAAATTTCGGGTCTTTCTTGGTGTTGCACGATATACACTTATTTCAATATAGTTAGTCACCTGAAAAGCTACAAAGCTGAGACCGACAAGGATTATGGCTAGATACATTTTACATGTTTCAACCGCTTGATAACTGTTGGTGGACTTGAGATTTTCTACCAGTTACAAGTGAGCATCCTCAACTGCTGCAGTTTGTGTCAAAAGCTTCACTTGTTGGATATAAAACATTTCCCCATGATTCTCAGCGATCACAGCTTTCTAGGTTTTTGGTGACTAACTTTATTGAAATAAGTATATCGTATTCTGGGTTAGGGTTTTTGTATTGGGTGGTATTGTTTAGCTCCAAACTCATTGTTCTCGGCTATTGTTTTATTGTCTTCATGGCTCAGGTGTCCTGCAATACCAAGAAAGAGCCGAAACTTATTTTGGGTAAAATATTAGGCTAATGAAGTTAAAAATAAAAGCGTTTTCTATGCCAATACTTAGTAAGGCGCTTGTTCTAAAGGAAACCTATTTCACTATTTTAGTTATTTATACTCTTGGATTTTTGTAAGCTCCTATTAGCACGAAACCCGAACGAAGCCTGCGCGGATTATCCTTTAGTCATAAAACACACGGTATTTATCGAAAGRTGTTATTGCAAGTGCAAACCAGTTTTTGGGCGTAAGCAAAATTTGCAGAGCCAACTGTACTTTCGATAGACTACAAATGTTCGTTGGCCACGCTGTATCAATCAAAACTCAGTTCTAACTTGATTTTCTGGTCAGGATTAAAACTTTTGAAATCGCACCAACTTAAAAAAAACAACATTAAAGTAGGCACGCCTTTTACAGTGCAATGTTTGCGATTTAATTTTAAAACTTTTAGCTAACTCGAAATGGCGGGGAGAATGGACCTCTTCAACTTGGGTGTATTGGTTTCCCATTCCAGAACACGTTTCATTAACTTGAGAATAAGATTCTTCGTTTGAGTTGTATTCATATTCATGTGACTTGTAATGTGTAATCGTTAAACATTGTCTTTACTATGACACGTGATAGGAAATGGAAATATAGGAAAATAATGCTCCCAAGCTAAAGAGGTCTATTAGTTTTGACATAACCTAATCCCTGTTTACAAGTCGAAGAGTCACACCGAATTCTTCGATAGGGAGGAATATATGACAGTTGGGAGAAAATGTTCATACTCACTCGACCAATCAACAATAGCATATTCTGTGTTATATGTCCCATAAAGAAATGTCAAGTTATACTCTATTGCTTTTCAATAAAAATTTGCATTTGGTACAATAGACTCCTCGCATGTGACGTCAAAGCAGCTCAAATTTGGAGGATAAAACAAGAATCCTGAGAATATGTCCTCCAAATTGAGCTGCATTCCGACGTGCTGCAAGGGGTCTATTCTCTACACATTTGTTGTATTGACCCAAATGCCTCGACTAGGAACAATTGTTTGATGGCAACAGAGTTTAGCTGTGATATCTGCTATTCAAAATTCCACAATTATTCCAAACCCCTTTTGTTCAGTGCGTGCTGGGGGGAATTATACAAATCCCCTAAACAAGGGCTTACGAGCCGTTCTTTGCATCTGGATATTTGTAGTGGATTTTTCTAAACCATTTTCACAAAAATTATCGACCACACGTCGCGTTTTCGAACCGTTTTCGCCATTCCACACGTTTTCGTTTTCCAAATATTCTCTACTTTCACATCCCCATAATGTCTTGCGTCTTTGGGGGTAACCAATCAAAAAACTGTCCCAAATCGAAAGGTTTCTTAATTCACGTTATACTATACATGTACCTGCTTTTATCTGTACGATACTGATTATCAGTTTATTCCAAGTTATTTTTGCGTATACAGATCATCAAGAGTTTTGGTCTTACAGAAAATGTATTGACTTACGAAAAAATGTTTAAAATTTACCTAAAACGTCTTCAAGCTTCTATCTTTTTCTGTTGTTTACTTCTTCATTTTATTTTTGGATACCAAACAAGGTATTTTCAACATTGTCTGATCAGCTTTCAGCAAAATAAGTGGGTTCTTACCCTCTGGTTACCCCCCAAAGACGCAAAGTATTATGGGGATGTGAAAGTAGAGAATTGCGTTTTTGACACCAATCCATAAAGGAAAAAATCCTCTTTCAAACTTATACRGACAGGATGCGTATGGACATAGCTAATGGAGCTAACTATAGTATGGACGGGGCCTTAGTTTTGTTGCGAGGCAGCTCAGTGTAAAAGAAAGGTACGTTTTTTAATAGGGGATAGGGCTGGGGGATTCGCAGTAAACTCAATGCTCGCAACCATCCCCCTTTCACCGGCATGAGAAATTCATGACCTTCAGTAACACGTCACGTGTTACGCCTGTCGCTATGACAACTAATAATAACAGACAGTAGAACAATTTCCCTTAGTAACCACAACGCCACAGTCACTTGTTGGCTCTGTCGGTATGACAACTAACTCAGATCTCTACCAAGAATATCTGTCATCGATGCACGCTAGTGCCTAGTCCCTTTGACTGATAGTTTTTCTTATTGAGCATGCGCAAAATCGTGTTTACGTCATTGTATTCGAAAAATTGCGGATACGACCGTCCACACGTATCCGTATTCGGAGCGTATTCGAAAATGTTCACTCTGGAGACCGTTTTCGAAAATTTCCGGATATACGGATACAAAAATGTCCGGACACGTTTGGACGCAACCCGTATCCGCCAAAAATAATTTGCGGATACGAAAATTTCCGGATACGTGTGGACGGGGCCTTACGGTACAGCTGTATATGCACTTTAATTGGTCAAGAAATGTGCATTAATAGTTGTAACAAAGCAGATCTCACATTCATGGAGGCAGGTCAGCCTTACTTAAGAAATAAAACATCATTATTTGTACTGCGTTTAGAAACTTACAATACTCGGTAAGTTCTGAAAGC